AACATATGTTTAAGAATAGGGCTCAATAAAAGCAAGATAAGCAAACATATTTGTAAATGGATTAGAATAGTTTAAACTATAGTGAATAGTTTTAGTGCATACATTACAGACGAGGTTGAAGAAGAATCAGAATGACAGCAGTGGTCATCAAAGAGTTTAGTGAAGGAATGTTTCGAATGTGGTTTGTTGTGTGTTGTTTGTTTTCTCTGTATTAACTCTTCACAGATATCGAGCCGGAACTAAGCACAAGTATTGATGATAAACGACGATGTGGATTGTGACCTAATTTTTAATCAGGTCAAAAGAGGGAAACTGTTGCATAATTAAAATGTTGTATACTAATGATTTTGAAAATAGGCCCTCTGAAGAATGTGCACGGGGAAAAGCCCCAAGGACAAGGATTGCAAACAGGAATAAAGAGGGTCAAATGGAGAAACTACAATCAGTCATAGAGATACCAACTTTCAAAACGGGACAAATTATTAACTCCAGGAATAAACATTCTTGTCTCTCTGGCGAGGCCAAAAGTCCAAAAACACCATCTGGCTAATCTCTCTCAGGCAGACTGGGAGATTCTCCAAAGGCATTCTGACGCCTCCCAGTGGACACGGGACGCCAGCACACCCGAAAAGAACATTCGGGAGACGCCCACAAGTGACGTCATCAGACGTCTTGATAAAACTGTTGGTTTGAGTTCTGGGAGGAGGTTAGCACAGGGCAAGAAGAGAGGGACATGCATAGTTTTAGGAGCCCTCTTTGTTGGAATTTCTGTATCTGATTGTAAAGAATAATTAAATACAGATGTTAAAACTTGGAGATCTGTGTCATGCCTCTGCATCAACTCGAACACGTCAGTCAAGGGAATTATTGACTTCAGAGCCCAGGGCTTGTTCCTCCAGTTTCTCCATATACAGATTGGCCACTATAGGAGAGACTGGGGAGCCCATCGCACAGCCATGAATCTGTCTAAAGAAGGTGCCTCTAAATTGGAAATACGTGGTGTTAAGACACATTTCAAGTATTTCACAGATGTGGTCAGCTGTTAGTTTCGTTCTCTCCCCTAGTGTGGCGTCTTTCTGTAGGCTTTCTCTTACAGCCTGCACCGCCTCTGTAATAGGGACCGACGTAAAAAGCGATGTCACATCAAACGAGACCATTGTCTCATCTGTGTCAAACTGGAGCTGTTTGATTTTATTTACTAATTCTTTTGTGTTTTCTATGTGATGGTGGGTGTTACCCACCAAAGGAGCCAGAATGGTTTTGAGGTGTTTAGCCAGGTTGTAGGTGATAGAGTCTATGCTACATACAATAGGCCGAAGTGGAAAGTTTTGTTTGTGTATTTTTGGGAGTCCATAAATACTGGGGATGGTGTCTCCTGGGTAAAGTTTGTAATATAGTGGTTTTTCAATAATGCCCTCTTTCACTAAGCTCTGAAGGAAGTCTATAATCTTTTTCCTAAACCCACTGGTAGGGTCCCTCTTCAATGGCTGGTACGTGTTGGTGTCCAAGAGTAACTGATTAACTTTGGCCTCATAGTCTGAGCTGTTGAGGATAACTGTGCATCTACCTTTGTCAGCTGGTAAAATAGTTATACTCTCCTCCTTTTGTAATGCCAATAAGGCTTTTTGCTCATCTAATGAGACATTGGATTGTGGTGGCTTCGCACTTTTGAGTGTTGCAGAGACTCTCAGTCTGAGGGCCCCCGCCTCACTCTCAGTTAGTTTGTTGTTTCTAATGGCTGCTTCTGCTGCTGTGATGTATTCAATTGTAGGAATGTCTTTTGGGGTTATTGGGAAATTTAGGCCTTTAGTAAGAACATCTTTTTCCGCTTGTGATAAATGCCGATCAGACAGATTTTTGACCCAATTCTCCCTGTCCCAGCCTTGTCCAATTTCACTTTTAGAATGTTGAAAAGAATTATGGTTTTGGAGTTTTAGAAATTTGCCTATCTGACGTTCTTTGGCCTTCTTGTGATGGTTCAGTTGGGCAGTTTCCGTAAACGTCCAAATCCTCTGAAAAAACTCTGGTGAGACTGCCAATTCCAGTTTGTGCTTAAGGCCCTCTATCTCGTCCTTTAGGTTTATAATCTCTATGTTAAGTCGTCGAATTCTTAAAATGAGAATCTTCATACAGTAGTTTTGTTGTATTTTTCTTGCCAACTGGCCTGTTTCTAATGCTTTTTGCTTTAAACATTTTGGGATAAGTTTACTCTGGCTACACCTAAGATTAAACCTAAGATGATTTCTGGCGTCTGCTAGTTTTCTTTTGATTTTCTCCAACCCGCGTGCCAAGACCAGGGCGTCTCTCCCAAAGTTGGCAACGATAAGTTTGTGTAAGCCCTCAGTCGTACAGGGATTAGTCAAAGCAAAGGAAGGTTTCTCACCATCATCTGTACTTAGCAAGTTTTCCCGACGTTTCGTCCTCAATCCTAAGGACTTCTTCAGGGAATGAAGTCCGGGAATCAGGGAACCAAACATGTTCAGAGAGCACTTTCCAGATGTGGCTACCCCAAGTGGTCTTTTACTAAAGCCCAAAGGACGAGAAAGGCCAGAGACACAGTCCAACAGACAGAAGAAAGTAGGAGGAGAGGGGTGTCCTTACCGTATGTGGCGGGAGTTTCAGAGAAACTACAAAGAATCTTTAGGCAACACAAAATCCCTGTGTATTTCAAACCTTTCAACACGTTAAGACAGAAATTAGTGCATCCCAAAGACAAAACACCCAGACACAAACAGAGCAATGTGGTGTATTCAATTAAATGTAGTGAAGAGGAGTGCACTGACCACTATATTGGAGAAACCAAACAAACTCTACAGAAACGACTTTACCAACATCGTAGAGAAAACTCTAGTGGGCCACAGTCGGCTGTTCATCTCCACCTCAAGGCCTCCAACCACACGGTGGATGACACAGAGGTTAAAATTCTGGCTCGGGAGAAGAATTGGTTTGAGAGAGGGGTGAAAGAAGCTATTTTTGTGAGGAAACAAAAACCTTCTCTTAACAGAGGAGGAGGGTTAAGATTTGTTTTGCCTCGCATCTATGACGACATCCTAAAAACAAGGCCCTAACTTGGGACAAGGTCAGTGACATGCTAATGAGTTAGGAGGGGTGAAACCTGCACTCCACTGGAGCATCCCAGCAGACAATAGGTCTGTGACATGCTAATGAGTTAGGGTCGTTAGACCTGCACTCCACTGGAGCATCCCAGCAGACAATAGGTCTGTGACATGCTAATGAGTTAGGAGGGGTGAAACCTGCACTCCACTGGAGCATCCCAGCAGACAATAGGTCAGTGACATGCTAATGAGTTAGGGTCGTTAGACCTGCACCTGAGCGTCCCACAGACAATAGGTCTGTGACATGCTAATGAGTTAGGGTCGTTAGCCTCAGCAGGGTCGTTAGACCTGCTCCCTTCTACATCAGACCTTAGATTGTTTATGAGTTAGTATCAGGATTATAGGTTATAGGTTATAAATCTCCAACGCGCGGTCTGAGAATTCATTCCCTGAAGAAGTCCTTTGGATTGAGGACGAAACGTCGGGAAAACGTCAGAAGAACAGATGATGGGTGAGAAACCTTCCTTTGCGTTTTTAAATATATGTTTTATATATATTTGTTTTGAGTTTTCTTGTGTATGAACCTGTTTTACTTTTAGTGCCACATTGAGTTCCTTCACATGTGTTTTTATAATTGCAAACACAGTAGAACATGTTTAAAATTAAATAAAGAAGTCTTTCGTTCGTTGGTTCTTTCTGAAGATAATAATAACGTCACGTCCAGAACACGTTTCTCGAACATGTGCTTTAGTTTTCAGAAAGAGGAAGGAACAGAGTGTCGTCATCTCCATGGTTACAGAAGCTGCAGGTACAGTCTGCACGACACACGACACGACACACAACACAACACAACAACACGACACACAACACAACAACACGACACAACACACAACACAACACAACAACACGACACAACAGTTACTTTAAGCTGAATGGAAACACCACACCATGAAGTGTGTGTCTTTAAAGCTGGGTTACCTGACTTAGGATCAATAATGCACTTGTTCTGACAAAACCGCACACTGCAAAAAAAGATCAAATATGAGGAAATGATGTGTTTTATCTTAATCTTTAGTTTTAGTTCCTCGTCCAAAGGAGACATTTATGTATCTTTTTAAAACTACATAATTTTGTTTTGTCCCGTCGGAGAATCTAGTTTTAAGGCTCAGTCAGAACGGGCTCAGATAAATGTACACTTTGCCAATTTTGAGCATTTTTTAACCTATTTTTTCATCACTTTTTGCAGTGTAGAAGCAGTGCCCAGAGTCAGGATTAAACATGTGGAGGCAGCGTCTCAGATTCATGCTAAAGTCTGGATTATTTTTCCTAAAAATGTGAGACAGGGTCTACTCTGACAATGTGCAAATCCTCTCTCTCTGAACTCTCTCTGGTCTCTCTCTGGTCTCTCTCTCTGGTCTCTCTCTCTGGTCTCTCTCTGGTCTCTCTGGTCTCTCTCTGGTCTCTCTCTCTGGTCTCTCTCTGGTCTCTCTGGTCTCTCTCTGGTCTCTCTCTGGTCTCTCTCTGGTCTCTCTCTGGTGTCTCTCTGGTCTCTCTCTCTGGTCTCTCTCTGGTCTCTCTCTCTGGTCTCTCTCTCTGGTCCCTCTCTGGTCCCTCTCTGGTCCCTCTCTGGTCTCTCTCTGGTCTCTCTCTGGTCTCTCTGGTCTCTCTCTGGTCTCTCTCTGGTCTCTCTCTGGTCTCTCTCTGGTGTCTCTCTGGTGTCTCTCTGGTCTCTCTCTCTGGTCTCTCTCTGGTCTCTCTCTCTGGTCTCTCTCTCTGGTCTCTCTCTCTGGTCTCTCTCTGGTCTCTCTCTGGTCTCTCTCTCTGGTCTCTCTCTCTGGTCCTCTCTCTCTGGTCTCTCTCTGGTCTCTCTCTCTGGTCTCTCTCTCTGGTGTTTAAGAAAGAATTGAAAACCGGCTGCAGATGTTTTTCCAGGTTTGCTCTTAATCACCACAGCTGCCCCCCCAGACCATCAGAGCACCTCCCCCCCCCCCCCCCCCCCCAGACCATCAGAGCACCTCCCCCCCCCCCCCCCCTCAGACCATCAGAGCACCTCCCCGCCCCCCCCCCCCCCCCCAGACCATCAGAGCCCCCCCCCCCCCCCCCCCCCAGACCATCAGAGCACCTCCCCCCCCCCCCCCAGACCATCAGAGCACCCCCCCCCCCCCAGACCATCAGAGCACCTCCCCCCCCCCCCCCCCCCCCCCAGACCATCAGAGCACCTCCCCCCCCCCCCCCCCAGACCATCAGAGCACCTACCACCCCCCCCCCCCCCACCCAGACCCTCAGAGCACCCCCCCTCCCTACCTGGGCGTAACCACGGCAACGGACACTCACCTGGGGGTTACCATGGCAACGGACACTCACCTGGGCGTAACCACGGCAACGGACACTCACCTGGGGGTAACCATGGCAACGGACACTCAACAACACGAGTTCAGTGGATCCGAGCCCAGGTGGGACCCCCAGCAGAGAGCTCCTCCCGGTGCGTCTGTACCAGAACCGGATCACTGGGATTAGTGGGAGGACTACTGCCCCCTACTGCCCCCTACTGCCCCCTGCTGCCCCCTGCTGCCCCCTGCTGCCCCCTGCTGCCCCCTGCTGCCCCCTGCTGCCCCCTACTGCCCCCTGCTGCCCCCTGCTGCCCCCTGCTGCCCCCTACTGCCCCCTGCTGCCCCCTACTGCCCCCCTGCTGCCCCTGCTGCCCCCTGCTGCCCCCTACTGCCCCCTGCTGCCCCCTGCTGCCCCCTGCTGCCCCCTACTGCCCCCTACTGCCCCCTGCTGCCCCCTGCTGCCCCCTGCTGCCCCCTGCTGCCCCCTGCTGCCCCTGCTGCCCCCTGCTGCCCCCTACTGCCCCCTGCTGCCCCCTGCTGCCCCCTGCTGCCCCCTACTGCCCCCTGCTGCCCCCTACTGCCCCCTACTGCCCCCTGCTGCCCCTGCTGCCCCCTGCTGCCCCCTACTGCCCCTGCTGCCCCCTGCTGCCCCCTGCTGCCCCCTGCTGCCCCCTGCTGCCCCCTACTGCCCCCTACTGCCCCCTACTGCCCCCTGCTGCCCCCTGCTGCCCCCTGCTGCCCCCTGCTGCCCCCTGCTGCCCCTGCTGCCCCCTGCTGCCCCCTGCTGCCCCCTACTGCCCCCTGCTGCCCCCTGCTGCCCCTGCTGCCCCCTACTGCCCCCTGCTGCCCCCTGCTGCCCCCTGCTGCCCCCTACTGCCCCCTGCTGCCCCCTGCTGCCCCCTGCTGCCCCCTGCTGCCCCCTACTGCCCCCTGCTGCCCCCTGCTGCCCCCTGCTGCCCCCTACTGCCCCCTGCTGCCCCCTGCTGCCCCCTACTGCCCCCTACTGCCCCCTGCGGCCCCCTGCTGCCCCCTGCTGCCCCCTACTGCCCCCTGCTGCCCCCTACTGCCCCCTGCTGCCCCCTGCTGCCCCCTGCTGCCCCCTACTGCCCCCTGCTGCCCCCTGCTGCCCCCTACTGCCCCCTGCTGCCCCCTGCTGCCCCCTGCTGCCCCCTGCTGCCCCCTACTGCCCCCTACTGCCCCCTACTGCCCCCTGCTGCCCCCTACTGCCCCCTGCTGCCCCCTGCTGCCCCCTGCTGCCCCCTACTGCCCCCTGCTGCCCCCTGCTGCCCCCTGCTGCCCCCTGCTGCCCCCTGCTGCCCCCTGCTGCCCCCTGCTGCCCCCTGCTGCCCCCTACTGCCCCCTACTGCCCCCTGCTGCCCCCTGCTGCCCCCTACTGCCCCCTGCTGCCCCCTGCTGCCCCCTGCTGCCCCCTGCTGCCCCCTACTGCCCCCTGCTGCCCCCTGCTGCCCCCTGCTGCCCCCTACTGCCCCCTGCTGCCCCCTGCTGCCCCCTGCTGCCCCCTACTGCCCCCTACTGCCCCCTGCTGCCCCCTGCTGCCCCCTGCTGCCCCCTACTGCCCCCTGCTGCCCCCTACTGCCCCTGCTGCCCCCTGCTGCCCCCTGCTGCCCCCTACTGCCCCCTGCTGCCCCCTGCTGCCCCCTGCTGCCCCCTACTGCCCCCTACTGCCCCCTGCTGCCCCTGCTGCCCCTACGCCCCCTGCTGCCCCCTGCTGCCCCCTGCTGCCCCCTGCTGCCCCCCTACTGCCCCCTGCTGCCCCCTGCTGCCCCCTACTGCCCCCTGCTGCCCCCTACTGCCCCCTGCTGCCCCCTACTGCCCCCTACTGCCCCCTACTGCCCCCTGCTGCCCCCTGCTGCCCCCTACTGCCCCCTGCTGCCCCCTGCTGCCCCCTACTGCCCCCTACTGCCCCCTGCTGCCCCCTGCTGCCCCCTGCTGCCCCCTGCTGCCCCCTACTGCCCCCTACTGCCCCCTGCTGCCCCCTGCTGCCCCCTACTGCCCCCTACTGCCCCCTGCTGCCCACTGCTGCCCCCTACTGCCCCCTGCTGCCCCCTGCTGCCCCCTGCTGCCCCCTACTGCCCCCTGCTGCCCCCTACTGCCCCCTGCTGCCCCCTGCTGCCCCCTACTGCCCCCTGCTGCCCCCTGCTGCCCCCTACTGCCCCCTGCTGCCCCCTGCTGCCCCCTGCTGCCCCCTACTGCCCCCTGCTGCCCCCTACTGCCCCCTACTGCCCCCTGCTGCCCCCTGCTGCCCCCTGTTGCCCCCTACTGCCTCCTACTGCCCCCTGCTGCCCCCTCCTGCCCTCTGCTGCCCCCTGCTGCCCCCTACTGCCCCCTACTGCCCCCTGCTGCCCCCTGCTGCCCCCTGCTGCCCCCTGCTGCCCCCTGCTGCCCCCTACTGCCTCCTACTGCCCCCTGCTGCCCCCTACTGCCTCCTACTGCCCCCTGCTGCCCCCTGCTGCCCCCTACTGCCCCCTGCTGCCCCCTGCTGCCCCCTGCTGCCCCCTGCTGCCCCCTGCTGCCCCCTGCTGCCCCCTGCTGCCCCCTGCTGCCCCCTGCTGCCCCCTGCTGCCCCCTACTGCCCCCTGCTGCCCCCTACTGCCCCCTACTGCCCCCTGCTGCCCCCTGCTGCCCCCTGCTGCCCCCTACTGCCTCCTACTGCCCCCTGCTGCCCCCTACTGCCTCCTACTGCCCCCTGCTGCCCCCTCCTGCCCCTGCTGCCCCCTGCTGCCCCCTGCTGCCCCCTACTGCCCCCTGCTGCCCCCTACTGCCCCCTGCTGCCCCTGCTGCCCCCTGCTGCCCCCTACTGCCCCCTGCTGCCCCCTGCTGCCCCCTGCTGCCCCTACTGCCCCCTACTGCCCCCTGCTGCCCCCTGCTGCCCCCTGCTGCCCCCTACTGCCCCCTACTGCCCCCTGCTGCCCCCTGCTGCCCCCTACTGCCCCTGCTGCCCCCTGCTGCCCCCTGCTGCCCCCTACTGCCCCCTGCTGCCCCCTGCTGCCCCCTACTGCCCCCTACTGCCCCCTGCTGCCCCCTGCTGCCCCCTACTGCCCCCTGCTGCCCCCTGCTGCCCCCTGCTGCCCCCTGCTGCCCCCTGCTGCCCCCTGCTGCCCCCTGCTGCCCCCTGCTGCCCCCTGCTGCCCCCTGCTGCCCCCTGCTGCCCCCTGCTGCCCCCTGCTGCCCCCTGCTGCCCCCTGCTGCCCCCTGCTGCCCCTGCTGCCCCCTGCTGCCCCCTGCTGCCCCCTACTGCCCCCTACTGCCCCCTGCTGCCCCCTACTGCCCCCTACTGCCCCCTACTGCCCCCTGCTTCCCCCTGCTGCCCCCTACTGCCCCCTGCTGCCCCCTGCTGCCCCTACTGCCCCTGCTGCCCCCTACTGCCCCCTGCTGCCCCCTGCTGCCCCCTGCTGCCCCTGCTGCCCCCTACTGCCCCCTGCTGCCCCCTACTGCCCCCTACTGCCCCCTGCTGCCCCCTGCTGCCCCCTGCTGCCCCCTACTGCCTCCTACTGCCCCCTGCTGCCCCCTACTGCCTCCTACTGCCCCCTGCTGCCCCCTCCTGCCCTCTGCTGCCCCCTGCTGCCCCCTACTGCCCCCTACTGCCTCCTACTGCCCCCTGCTGCCCCCTGCTGCCCCCTACTGCCCTCTGCTGCCCCCTGCTGCCCCCTACTGCCCCCTACTGCCTCCTACTGCCTCCTACTGCCCCCTACTGCCCCCTGCTGCCCCCTCCTGCCCTCTGCTGCCCCCTGCTGCCCCCTACTGCCTCCTACTGCCCCCTACTGCCCCTGCTGCCCCCTGCTGCCCCCTACTGCCCCCTGCTGCCCCCTCCTGCCCTCTGCTGCCCCCTGCTGCCCCCTACTGCCCCCTACTGCCTCCTACTGCCCCCTACTGCCCCCTGCTGCCCCCTGCTGCCCCCTGCTGCCCCCTACTGCCCCCTGCTGCCCCCTGCTGCCCCCTACTGCCCCCTGCTGCCCCCTGCTGCCCCCTGCTGCCCCCTACTGCCCCCTGCTGCCCCCTACTGCCCCCTACTGCCCCCTGCTGCCCCCTGCTGCCCCCTGCTGCCCCCTACTGCCTCCTACTGCCCCCTGCTGCCCCCTACTGCCCCCTACTGCCCCCTGCTGCCCCCTGCTGCCCCCTGCTGCCCCCTGCTGCCCCCTACTGCCTCCTACTGCCCCCTGCTGCCCCCTACTGCCTCCTACTGCCCCCTGCTGCCCCCTACTTCCTCCTACTGCCCCCTGCTGCCCCCTACTGCCTCCTACTGCCCCCTGCTGCCCCCTCCTGCCCTCTGCTGCCCCCTGCTGCCCCCTACTGCCCCCTACTGCCTCCTACTGCCCCCTGCTGCCCCCTGCTGCCCCCTACTGCCCTCTGCTGCCCCCTGCTGCCCCCTACTGCCTCCTACTGCCTCCTACTGCCCCCTACTGCCCCCTGCTGCCCCCTCCTGCCCCTCTGCTGCCCCCTACTGCCCCCTACTGCCCCCTACTGCCCCCTGCTGCCCCCTGCTGCCCCCTACTGCCTCCTACTGCCCCCTGCTGCCCCCTCCTGCCCTCTGCTGCCCCCTGCTGCCCCCTACTGCCCCTACTGCCTCCTACTGCCCCCCTGCTGCCCCCCTACTGCCTCCTACTGCCCCCTGCTGCCCCCTCCTGCCCTCTGCTGCCCCCTGCTGCCCCCTACTGCCCCCTACTGCCTCCTACTGCCCCCTACTGCCCCCTGCTGCCCCCTACTGCCCCCTGCTGCCCCCTGCTGCCCCCTGCTGCCCCCTACTGCCCCCTGCTGCCCCCTGCTGCCCCCTGCTGCCCCCTGCTGCCCCCTGCTGCCCCCTGCTGCCCCCTACTGCCCCCTGCTGCCCCTACTGCCCCCTACTGCCCCCTGCTGCCCCCTGCTGCCCCCTGCTGCCCCCTACTGCCTCCTACT